CCCTTCTCATGGCTGCACCCTGGGTTACTGTGTGTGGGAAGAGAGGCATCCTTTGTCAGATACTGCCCTAGGCTCTGGCAGAGACAGTCAAGCTCTTCTGCTCTTCCTAGGGCTTACACAGACTGTCAGGGAAGCAGGCACTACTCTCCTCTATCCTGGTGCTGCAGCAGGCCTTAAAGAGAGCTTTTGGGAAGCTGCAGTAGAGAAGAGACAGCAGCTATCCAGCATTCTCCTGGTTCATATCAGAATTGCTCTTGGGAATGTAGGAGAAGTAATGAGAGGACAGCTGAGAAGATGGGACTGATTCAAACACTTCAATTAAAAAATTTCATGGCACCACTCAGGGACCATAATTTGTATTCATAATCAAATATCAATTTTCTTCTCCATGCAGCCACTGGTGAGGGAACTCTGGGACCTTCTTATCCTGCAGGGTCCTAGAGTTTGGAAGACCACACAGCCAATGAAATAGCCCCACAGCCAGAGCCCCATGAGCCCGAGTTGGCTGGCATGGGCCAACTTCACAACTGTGTTGTGTAGACCAAGGGTGGGCAAACTACGGCCCGCAGGCCACGTCCAGCCCGTGGGACCATCCTGCCCGGCCTCTGAGCTCCTGGCCAGGGAGGCTCACCCCAACCCCTCCCCCGTTGTCCCTCCTCCCCCACAGCAATGCCACCGCGCAGGCAGCGTGGCTTCCGCCCGCCCACCTCCCACACTTTCAAATAAGCCTGTCCTGCCACTCAGAGCGGCATGGTAAGGGTAAGGGTAAGGGGGGAGGAGGGGTTTGATAAGGGGCAGGAGGCCCCAGGGGGCAGTCAGGGGATGGGGGTGTTTGGATGGGGCGGAGTTTCGGGCGGTGGTGGTCAGGAGACAGGGAACAGGGGGGTTGGATGGGGTTGGGGTCCTGGGGGAGCAGTTAGGGACGGGTGTCCCGGGGGGCAGTCAGGGGACAGGGAGCAAGGGGTGTTGGTAGGCGTGGAAGTCCTGAGGGGCTGTCAGGGGGCAGGTGTGTGGATAGGAGTTGGGGTGGTCAGGGGACAAGGAGCAGGGGGGTTGGATGGGTCAGGAGTTCTAAGGGGGGCAGTCAGGGGGCAGGAAGTGGGCGGATGGGCAGGGCAGGCTGTTTGAGGAGGCACAGCCTTCCCTACCCGGCCCTCCATACCGTTTCACAACCCCGATGTGGCCCTCGGGCCAAAAAGTTTGCCCATCCCTGGTGTAGACATACCCATAATTAAGATACTTAATTGCTCTTTTCCTCTGTCTTGGTTCTAGATTCTGGTATGTTCTTGTATCCCCTAGATTAGAGGAGTAGAGATATTTTCCTTCATCCCCAACCCTCACCATCAACAACTACCTTCCTATCTCCCTTCTCTTTCCTACTTGTCATCAAAATCCCTGAGCATGATATCTATATTTGTGGCTGAGATCTTCTCTCTAGCAAATATCTCTTTGATTGTCCTCAAATCTGACCTCCTCCCACTACAATTCATTCTTACCAAGGTCACTAGTGACCTTCTCCTAGCTAAGTCAGAGGGACACTCCTATAATTGTATCCTCCTTGATTTCTCTTTTGCTTTCTCCCCTCTCTTGGCTTCCATGACTCTGTCTCTTTATGATTATCATGAAGCTTCATTATTAGCTCCTTCATCATGACCTTTGGTGATTTCTTATCTTCACCTGTCTCTCTCAGTTGTAAGCCTGAATGTTTTGTCTATATTTTCTCTCTTGGCGACATCTTCTGCCCCCGTGGCATCACTGACTATTTTTATTCCAATGACCTACCTAATTCTCAACCACCACCATTACCCCTCTCTCTAGGGGTAAAATGTCCTGCCTCATTCTCTGTCTCATCAAAACTGAACTCAATTTTCCTCCTAATCCTTCTTCACCACATTCCCTATCACCACTGATAAGACCATTATCTTTCTGTTTCCCAGGGTTGCAACATTAGTGTCATTGTTGACCCTTGTCTGTACTACTTTCCCTAAAGGCAGTCTGTTAGTAAGTCCTGATGATTTTCCTCTTCAATATCACCAAAAATATACCATTCCCTCATTTCCATGTCCACTACTAACAGCCTTAACCATGGCTTGATTAATTCTCTTTCCTTGATTACGTAAGTTCTCCTTCCAGCCTCTCAAAATACCACTACTAAAGTCATTTCTCCCCTCACCATTAAGAACAAGTTATCCTTCTCCTTTAACACCTTTACTAGCTTCCAGTCTCTTACTCTATCAAACTGGAGTTCTGTCCTCACCATCAGAGTTGTACACAATCTTGCTCAGGCCTACCTCTTTGTTTCAATTTCCTTTACTCTTTTTTCTCACCCCTGTGCTACTCTCATTCTTCTCCTCTGGGCTTCCAGCTGCCTTTACACTTGGAACACTTTACCACAACCTTTCCACAAAGCATCCTCTCTTTTCTTCAAATTCTTCCAGAGAACCAGTTCTTCCATGAATCCTTCCTATCTTGTTCTCTTCACAAATAATTTCCACACAGGCTCTATTTCCTGAACTGCTGCCCAGAGTGTTGTCTTGATCAGATTGTAAGCATACTGGGGTAGGGAACATGTCTAACACTGTTTGTAAAGCAGTGTATACATTTCACAATGATGAATGAAAGATTATGAATAAACAAATAAGTCAATAAAACTACCCCTTTAAAATTAAAGAGTAAGCAATGCAGTTTATTACATCAAGTAACATAGACAGCCTGATTTTCAAACCTGGGTTCCTAAATGGGATATCAAAATCTTACATTTAGACATGAAGATCATCACTGAAGTGCAAGTAAATGGTCCTTGATATAGGATAAAAAGTGTGGATAAAAAGCAGCCATTGAAAGATGTGGACATCTTATTAAGGCACTCAAGTTTGAAAATTGTGCTTCCCATATGTAGTACGGCAAGTAACATGAAGATACTTATTGTAATTTCAACCAGCAGAGGTTCAGTCACAGCTGGCATTTTTCCAAGTAATTCTGAGCAGTTCATCTTTTTCATTTAGAATTATGAGATCAAGAACACTAATTAACAGGCAGTTCTCATTTCTAGCTTTAAGAAAACACTAAGTTGTATGAAGGATATCGGTAGAGGTTTGGGAATTGTTTCTAATGTTCTGGACTAACAAGTATGTATCTTTTCTTAATAACTTTTCCTGAAAATGCTGGCTGCAACCAGAGTACATGAAAATAAACCCTAAGGAAAACTTGATTTTGTATACCAGGTCTTGGGACTATGTTTTGCAAATGTTTTCTGGTTACCATAGTAGCTTCTGAATTTTCTCTGTAAATGTGAAGTTAGTAATCACTTTTTTAAACTAGGTTACCAAGTCCTTTTCCCTTCCCCCAGTCAGCTCTTCCTTCCCAGAAATTTAATTCTGTCAGTCACACACGCATGCACAAACAGACACTCTTAAAATGGCCAGAGCATACTGTTTTACAGAAGCCAAAATATGTGATAAAAAACCTGCCCAAATATTTTGCTTTTCAGGTGCCAAAAAAATAGAAGCTTTATTTGCCATTATTATGAAGACAGATCCTCCTACGTTTTTTCAATGTTATAACAAATTCCAGGATGAGAGTATTCTCATTGTTGTAGTCAAGAGTGTCAGCTTCTTGAATGAACACATTATGGATTTAAGTGTTCCTTTCTAAGTCTGTGGGTGTGTACATATCAGTCAAAGGGGGTTGAGGGCTACCTTGTATTTTTTTCATATATTTAAATGTTTCCTGATGTGAAACACGTTCTCACTATTTTTCTCCTCACTAACTTACTGTGTACCTTTCTGACATTCTAAGATTTCTTTTCAGAACAGACCCCTTGAATAAATTATCAATTCCTAAGACGCAAATAGCTGTGTTGAGTATGCTGCTAGGAAGCAGAAAAGACATCTCATAATTTCAGGGGTTGACAGTGCCCTGATACTATAATATGCCTTTAATGTCTACATTTCATTTTCAACTACTGAATATGAGAGAAAAACTGAAGGTTTCTGAGTTCAGAATGGCCACAATATGTACACAAATATCTTATGCTACATGAATTTTGAAGAATCAATTAAAGCAACCTCATCTTAGCATATCTACTAATGTTCATTTTAAACATAGATTTCAGAGTGGTAGCCGTGTTAGTCTGTATCAGCAAAAAAAAAAAAACCCAACAAGAAGTACTTGTGGCACCTTAGAGACTAACAAATTTATTTTGGCATAAGCTTTTGTGGGCTAAAACCCACTTCATCGGATGCATGCAGTGGAAGATACAGTAGGAAGATATATACACACAGAGAACATAAAAAATGGTGTTGCCATACCAACTGTAATGAGACTGATCAATTAAGGTGGGCTATTATCAGTAGGAGAAAAAAAACTTTTGTAAACATAGAGTATATCAGTAAACATAGAGCATACCAGTGTTTGTTTCTTTTCTCATGTAATACACACCACACATGCATATTATTTGGGGGAAAAATACAGAGACTGTTAGCTGTTACTGTAACCACTTCAAATGCAAGCCAGTACGTCTGGAAGAAGTTTTAACAATGCCATATAAAATGATGATTGTTCAGATCTTTTTATGTGCATACATGTGGGACACACATAATATCCAAAAGTCAGTCTATATGCTTTTATTCAAAAAGGCTGCATTTATGTTTTAATTGCAATGATAAATTATTATATAGCTGACAACCAATCAGAGTCACATATTTACTGGACAGTGAGGTACCAAATGCACAGAGAAAAACAGTATTCTGGTATTTCTGAAACAGTGAAACAAATAAATACTCTTTAGAAAAACAAAGTCCAAACATTTGAAAGCTCTTCACAAAGTGAAAAACATAAGTGCAGAACATGGAAACATGCTTATTCCATTTTCACAATGGACATCTGTTCAAAAAGAAGCCAACATTTCATGCCAGCCCTCTGCTGGTTAAGCAGTTGTTATATGAGAATATTTATAACTATTTTAAGATAAAATTTGTACCAGTAAACTTGATTCTTACCTCTGCAATCATCCTATTAGTGTCTCCCAAAAAAAGAAGGTTCAGTGCTTCCTCCTCGTTGGTTGCTTGCTGAAGAGACAGGTTTTTCAGATGAATGTTCTGATCAGGGTCTTCCATTATTGTCACTTTTCTACAAAAAACCCAGACAGAATAAGAGAATACCAGAGCTGCTTGCAAGTGATCCTTGTTTTAATATTTTCATTAAGATTTCATATTAAATACTGGGTATTTGAACAGGCCTAGCACAGTAAAAATAAGCACTGAAGATCTGAAGGATTAAAACAATACTAACATTAATAATAAATACCAAATAAGTACTTTTGATTCCCTGCCACCTCCTGACTTCTCATCCTTACTCTCAAGACTTGGATCTCCTTTAGATCATTCCTCTCACAAATTAAACATGTTTATCTCACCATCCTTAGAAAAAACAAAACACATCTTTTGACCCCAATTATCTCTATGACAGCGGTTCTCAACCTGTGGCCCAATCAGCACACAGCAGCAGCCCATGTGACATCCTCACGGCCATACAGGTAGTATATATATTGTGTGGATGTGGCCCACATAACATGGAGAGAACTGCATATGCGGCCCACAGTGGTAAATAGGTTAAGAACCACTCATCTATGACGAATGCCCTATTGACCTTCTTCCCCTCATTTTCAAAGCCACTGAATGCGCCATCTCTTCCTAACCCATATTGGAACCATTCCAACCTGGTTTGTCTCCCACTCTCTTCTTGACTGGACACTGTTCTAATTAAAGTATTTAAAAAACATGTTGTGGCAAGTCTCAGGGCCTCTATTCTATCTTCGTTCTCCTGGACCTCTCTGCTGCTTTTGACACAGTAGTATTCTCTGTCTCAATATCTTGTCCTTCCACAGCTTTTGTAACTCTGTCTTCTTCTGGTTCTCTGGTCGTTTCTTCAGTGTCTCTTTTGATGGATCCTCCTCCACCCCTCTCAGCAAAGATCCCAACAGAATTCCATCCTTGCCTCCTCTTCTACCTTTGCTCCCTCTGGGTGATCTTTCGTGATTTGCTCACAAGGCATCAATTACAATACAATTAGGTAGATGATTCACAAATCTTTATTTATGTTCCTGATCTGACCTTGTTCTCAGCCTATCTCTCTGACATTTCCTCCTGGATGTCTTGCCATCCATTTAAACTAAACATGAATCCACAGTGAACTTTTGCTCTTACCTCCGAATTCCTCACCATCCCTACATTCTCTGTTGTCGTTACCACTATATCACTATATCAGATCTCATCAGCCTGGGAGTAATCTTCCAGGCCCTTTCCCTTGACCAGGGCTTGAGATGGAAAGTAAAATGTAGTAGTACTCTAATCTCTTCTCACTTGAAATGCTACTCACTGTAGTTTGTCCAGATATTCAAAATATTATCACATGTGCTCCACTGGATTCTGATTGTCTTCTCAAGCTTGTCTCCCTATAAATGGAATTTGAGATGCCCAGAGGAAAGTCCAGATTATGGCATAGACACAATAAGCACGTAATTAAGTCCCTGGCTCCCAGAGTTATGTGATGGCATCACACTATCAGCTTTCATTTTTTAAATAAATACATATATATTTCTAGCCTTCATGGTAGTGGAGAAAAGCTTAAAAGCTTGACTTACAGTGTTAATGCATGATGTTTGCCCAAATCTGTGGACAGTCTCCAGAAAAGTGAGGAGCAGCAGCCAGAAGAGCCAGGGAGGAAGCTACCTAGCCCCATACCCACCACCACAGGAGAATAGGTCCCTGCTGCTCTGGGAAAGGGAGGCAATATCTTGTTGGTATGGGAACAGGGCTTGGATGTCCTACCGGGCTCTGCACAGTTGGCTTACCTTCAGTGGGACTCAAGACACTCCCTTGTGATATGCTCCTCCTTTCTTGCCTTTTGGTTCCATGGGTGAGATTAGAGAACAAAATTGGTGAAACTCTCCCAAGTGTCATCCATTTGTGGCATCGAACTGAGATGCCAGTCACAGCAGATTGTGCATATCTTCATAATATAATCATTCCACTCTCCCTCTCTCTTTCTCTCTTTTTTTATTTTTAATATGTTTTGATTAGCAATGTAATAGCTAATTTAAATTATCATTGGGCATCTGAGTCACCACACCAGAGAAACGAATGGATCAGTTCATACTTCTCAGAGCTGTTGTTTCAGAGTGTCGATTGCATTGGTTACACGCAGATCACATTTTGAAGATTTATTTTCATAATTATAAGGCTAAGAGACTTAGGGCTTGTCTATATTAACATCTAGTTCATGGCTAGTTGTGGAGTGAATCTACCCCACACTCGCCTGCTGCACTCTGTCTGTGTGGACCTTCCTGATACTCATTAACAATTCATTAGCATGCTTTGATCAAGTCCTGTTTCAAAGCGGACGAAGTGTTCATGTAGACAAGCCCTATTTATATTTTTAAATGAAAACTGAGATTATGCAGGAAAAATGCCAGAATCAAAATTTTAAAAAAGAGTGTTAGCTCATTGTCCTGGCCAAATTGAATCTCAGTCATTGACCCACACATCAAGATCAAAAATTGTCCAAAAATGCTGCTCCATCCACCACAGCATTTCTGAGATCCAATCTTTTCTTTCTATTTACATAGCTAAAACATGTCAAAGGTCCTTATCTCCAGTCTTGATTTCTATTACCTCCCCCTCTCTGGCTTCATTGACACCTTCATTCCCCTCTCTTCAATGTATTCAAAAGACAGCTACTAAGATCAACTTCCTTTCTCATCTTTCTGATCATGCTCCCTCTTCCCCTGTCCAACATCCTCCAACTCCTTTTCCATAACGTCAAGACCAATCTCTTGTCCTCTACTTCCAGGCTTTTCAGAATTCTCAGAGCAGATACATAAAGCTGGTTAGTCACCTCTTACCTTCTGCACTCTACCAATGATTCTCGCCTTGACCACCTACTTATTAATTTCTCCCACAACTATTTCCATACTTTATTCCATACTCCCCCCTACAAATGGAATACCCTACTTCAAACTGATCCGTAAGCCCTTTCTTTTTTCAAATTCCTTCAAATTCCACCTTTCCCTTGATTGCCTACAAGAAATTCACCAACTAATAATGGCTGGATTGAAGGGAAATCACATATAGTCAATGTGTACTTCAGAAAAAACAGAAAAAATGTATATAAAATTGTACATATTTTAATCGTATCCCTCTTCCCAAACTTCATAAGTTTTTTTGGTCATCTTAGACAGTTCTCTCCATCCCTAAGCAAGGAAACAATGCCTTATGTCATTCAAGTAACCACTGCAGGATGACACAACGTTATAGTGGGCTCCGATGGAAGATACGTCCAGCCCTCCTTAGCAAAAGGGCCACTTGCCACAATAAATAAAAGACATATTTATAGACAGTAGTAGAGGACTGGTTAGATAGTGCATGCCTCACCTAGAAATATTAGCAGACTTCCTTGTTGATTGTTTAGTAGGGTTAAGAAGGATGCCAGGATAGTGCTGCCCACAAATCTCACGCTGGCCAAGTCGTGCCACAATAACATTAACTGTCTGCAACACCTATGTGATATGTGCTGATTACATGGATAAACCCTATTTCTCTTTCTTTTAAAAATGTTCTTATTAATATGTCAAGCGCTATCACTCTATTGCAAATCTTCTCACAGGAAAGGAATATATAAAAGTTGTAACGATCATGGAAGATTCTGTTTGTTTTTTGTGAGAGTGGGACAAGAGGATTATCAGAAAAACCTGGAGGTGTTTGTCAGATGAATTTTCATGAGTAATTACTTTGGATCTTTTCACCACCATCATCATCATTTAAGCACAAACAATGTGCAATGTGCCGTATAATCATACTGAGTAAAAGCAGGTAGGGGATATTTCAGAACCAACATGTCCTTGTTAATTCAGCATTCGCCAAGATTATTCCTCTTTTCTATCCCCTTTGAACAGTACCAGCAATGAAGGAAAATGATGTCTTCCTTTGATGAAAAACAAACAATCAGGATGTATTTATTTATTTATTTTCATCAAGAATGTGTAATGTAATGCTGTTAACTGCTCTTCCTAAAGCCTTGAAAGTTCAGAAAAAAGTGAGTGAGGTATGAGGAATGAAGATAGGCAAAACTTCTGAGGCAAAACAGTAACTTACCATCAGTGAAATCTTTCACTTCTTCAAATGCTCCTTCAACCTAGATAGGACCTTTTTTCTTCTGAAGTAATCAAGATTAAAATTTGGCTGGAATTAGTGGTTTCTAGGGCCTCTATGAGCTAAGACACTGTATAATACTGAAAATGGAGTCCTTCCACCAACTTCAATGGGTTTTGGATCAGGTCTATGTTGAGTACTTTCTTGTTTTAAAGCAATATAATTCAATTAGTTCTAGAGGGATATAAGAGCAAGAAATATGTCCTGAGACAGTTATTGCAAAAAGAAAAGAGGTTCCTGTAACAAATGCTATTTCCCCTCCTCTCAGGCTTTCTCTATACAGATAATATGGTTAAGGCAAATTAATCATAGCATTGAGCAGAGTAAGTGGGGCGGGAGGAGGCTAGGCAGAAGCATACAGAGCCTCTTCTTTCCCCTCTGCATACCCAGATAGCAAGTAGGCAGAATTCCAGCCTAGCATTCCCTTGAGAACTAGACTAGGAAAACAGCTTACCTTCTGATGCTCAATATTTCGGTTGGAAGACATAATGAGACCCATGCCCTAGCATAAAGTGCAGTCACAAGAACATGTAAAAGGAGACACAAGATGCTTATTGTTGGAGCAGTAATAGTTGTACTTCAGAGTACACAGAGCAATCCTCTCCCACCCCTAGCTCTCCTGCCTTACCCCACTAAGATGTCTAGGAGCCTGAATTGGGCCAGCACCTGGTGATGGCTATATCAACCCCGAATTGGCGAAGCCAGGGTTAAAGAGCAATTTTTAGCCCAAGAGGCCACGCCACCTCATCCCTGCTGGGCATGCTCCCAGTGGCGGGAGCACTCAAAAGGGAGCAGCTCAGCTCAGTCTGGGCTGACTGAGGAGGAGAGCAGTTGTGTGCAGCAGTCTCCTGCTGGGGGATGCCTGGACTCCAAGCCTCCGGGGTCGAGCCTCCAAGCTGCACTGCAGGAAGGCAAGCGACT